AGGCAGGAGAATTGAGTGAACAACCACCTGGGAGGCGCAGAGGTTGCAGTGAGCCAAAATCGCTCCACTGCAGCCTGGGTGACAGAGCGAGACTCCATCTCAAAAAAACACTTTTAGAGCTTACAGACCTACTTTCCAAGCTTTCTTTCTCTTAGCTTTCTATTGTTCTTTTTCTAAAAGCTGGCCTTTTGCTCGATAAAAATCCATTTTCTGTCATCCCTTGTCACTTCCATACACATCTTCTGATCAATCACTCTCCCACATTTAATGAAGACTTCAACACTGGGGCCTGGGGCCAGGTGCAGTGGCTCACACCTGTAATCCCAGCACTTTGCGAAGCTGAGGTGGACCACTTGAGGTCAAGAGACCGAGACCAGCCTGGGTAACATGGTAAAACCCCGTCTCTACTAAAAATATAAAAATTAAAGGCTGGGTGTGGTGGCACATGCCTATAATCCCAGCACTTTGGGAGGCCAAGGAGGGTGGATCATTTGAGGTCAGTAGTTCGAGACTAGCCTGGCCAACATGGTGAAATCCCATCTCTACTAAAAATATAAAAATTAGCTGGGTATGGTGGCATGCACCTGTAGTCCCAGCTTCTCAGGAGGCTGAGGCAGGAGAATTGCCTGAACCCGGGAGGGGGAGGTTGCTTGAACCTGGGAGGCGGAGCTCTAATTGGTCCAATTCAGAGCTTACATCCTAGTCCCTATTTCCCTGGATCCTTCTGTAGTGTAACTCATGCTCAGGTCATCACACTCTCAGCTCCTTGACACTGTGCTCCTGATTCTCTTCCTGGTCTTGGGCTGCTCATTTCTCAATCTCCTTCATGGGCTCATTTTTCTGAGCTACGCTTTAAACGTTGGTATTCCCTAGGATTCTGTTCTTGCCTCTTTTCTCATCTAAACACTATGTCTCCCTAAATGATCTCACCTAAATCCACGATTTCTACTTAATTTCATCAATATCTGGATAATCTCTGTCCAGATCTCTAGCCTTACTCCAGTCCATATATATGTTGAATCAAATCCCTGGTAGACACTTCTAGGTGCTCTATTTTGGGATGATCCCATTCTGACATCTCAAAATCAACAAGTCTAAACAATCATTAATTCTATTCTACCCGGACATCAGATTTTTCAGTACTCCCCATCTTTTCAAGAGAGATTTGAGGTGCCTCTTTGTTCCCATCTGTCCCCTAACCTATCTTTAAGCCCTATTGATTCGACCACATTAAATGTTCACTTATCTAAGACAGCAAAGTATGTAAAAGATGCAATTAATAACAAATTTTTATTAGTACTCCATTAATTGAAAGCTGTATCATTCATTTGGGAAGGTAGAACACAAGAGGGCTGTCTATAATTTGGAAAAAAATATATTCTGGACACTGTAATCAATGCTTGGCAGAACGACTTTACTAATACATTTAAGACCAAAGTAAGCTAACAGTCTGGTCTTGTTTATATGAATTATTTATTTAGTTTTTAGAGACAGGGTCTCGCTATGTTCCCCAGGCTGGAGTGCAGTAGCTGTTCACAGGCATGATCACAGAACAGTCTTGCTGTGTTCAAGTGATCCTCCTACCTCAGTCTCTTGAGTAGGCATGCCACTGCACCCAGCTTTTTTTTTTTTTTTTTT